GGGTTAACGGTGCTTTTAGGCACCACAAGCACCGGGCACCGTCCTCGTCGAACCCGTCGCTTGCGACGAAGGGCTCGACGAGCGAATTAACCAATAGACACAGCCCATTGAGTTTCTACACATCAAGGAAAAGCTGAAATAGCCTCGCGCTCATAATCATATTTAAATCGTACAAACTATAACTATACCTGTTAGATCATCAGGATACGAAGCCCGGCAACCAGTAATCACGAATACATTTTGTGCGTTTGATGATCACACTGCGAAATTTATGAATCGTGATGCCGCTTAAAAAAAGTACACCACATCACATAACCCGTCTATACTATGACTCCTGTTGTATTAACTATCTTTTAGGCTGCGGCGAATTTAAAAATACATATCGACTGGTGAAAAGCGACATTTTTGCAGCCTTACAGGAAAGCCATTTAAAGATTAAAAATTGGAAAAATATCATAACCAAAAACATTTCTTCAGCTATTTAAATAGAATAAACTTAATTGAAGTTCAATTAAAAACATCGAACTGTTGGTACAAATATCAAATAAAATGCACCTTTAATTATAAAGAAAAAGGGCGCGTATGTCGAGATGTCGCTTAAAACAAATAGCCTTTCACCCCTCTATATATTATTGTCTACACTTTTATATACACGTGAGGTGTTAATAATAAGGTTATAGATGCCTGCTTAAATCTCTAATGAATAATCGCAAGATTAATAAAATAAAACATTTCTTTTTTAAAAGAAGTTAATGTTAATAGTGCGGTTATTTTTAAATTACGAACTATTTGGTGTAGCTTACAGTATAACCAAGACCAGATCTTGTTGATGACGTCAAAAAATTTTTTTTATTCTATTGATACATAACACACAATGGAATTTAGTGCACACACACAATGAACCTTCAATGCATTATTTAATTCATTCATGTATGTTAACTATTTGTTAGAATTGTTTCAAACGAGTTAACAACACGAGTTCTACGATCTTACGAGTTCCACGAATGAGTAAGAAATTAGGACAGAAAAGAAATAAGAAATGAAACATCGGTTCCGTTTATTAAATCATTTATACAATGATCGAGTTACAACTTATACATAAAGTGAAATCATTCCATTTAGCACAGCACATTTACAAACTCAAGTACAAAAATTGGAAAAAGCTCCAGACATACAATGGAATTATCGAAGTTGGTACATACAAGCGGAAAATATGTTTGGAATTTACTCATTAATAATATTGTGTGAAGCGAAATACATACATTAAACTATTCATCTATAACTATTAAACATTAAGATATTGAGGGTATTTGTGTCCTATTCATGATGACGACGCGAGTTCGGCCAGGGTCTCGATTTGTTCATAAACATTTCAGATGTAAAGTAAGAATATAATAATTAATTCATATTGGTCGATCCAAATGTTATTCTAACGAACCATCGAGTGAAGTCGTTGAATTTATCAACATTCATCCGTACTAATCTAGATGCTCCAGACCCGTTTATTTATTTAATGTCGTTTATTTAATTTATTTTTTATTTATTTATTTATTTATTTGGGAAACAAACAGTACAATACAAAACATACAATATTTAAAAAATATAGCTAAAACAATAACCAAATATGTTTCCACAATCAAAATCACATATAAGTAGATAGTGAACAAGAAGAGAAATTTAGAAATTTAAATTACAAAAAAAAAACAAAAGCAACACAATACGCACATATCATTTTATACATTAACTCACACTATAAAACTACAACACTTATCGGGCCAAATCACCCTATAAACACTCCAAAACAGCTTTTCTATATGCTACAAGTGACAAGCAAAAGATATCAGCATTAGAGAACTTAGCATCATACAACCTACAAGATCTACGGACAAAAGAGTTAGAAGCATATTTCGTTCGAGCCGTGGACATGTGGAAGGTCTGTTTAGAACGCGCGGAAATACGACTACATTTAAATGAAATTTTGGAAAGAAGATAGCTAGAATCAATCTCGTTATTTATTATTTTATATAAAAACATTTGATCCCTCAGTAGCCTGCGATCGACTAGAGAGACAAATTCTGTCGGTTCTGGAGAGTTAAAGCGACGACAATGGTATAAAAGATGCTTAAAAAACTTTTTTTGGACTCTTTCTAGTCGCTGAATATAAATATTATATTGGGGGTTCCATGTGACGGAGCCATATTCCAATATAGACCGTACAAAACTGTTGTACAACAGAATCAAAGTAGATGGTCTTTTAAAGTCTTTACCAACTCTAAGTATGAAGCCTAACATTCGAAAAGCCTTATTTACTATTTCATTAACATGAAAATCAAAAATCAAACTGGAATCCAAATAAATACCCAAATCACGAACAACTGTGGTGCGTACCAAAGTTTGACCATTAATAGAATAGTCATACAAGATATTCGATCTTCCACGTGAGAATGTTATAATAGTACACTTATTAGTATTCACTGTGAGTAAGTTATTTTGACAGTAAACAAATAAGTTGTTCAAATCATCCTGTAATTCCAAACAGTCGTTTAAGGACTTTATAACTTTATATACTTTTTTGTCATCAGCGTACATAATGAATTTGGATTTCCTGAAAACATTCGAAACGTCATTGACATATATATTAAATAACATAGGACCGAGATGAGAGCCCTGAGGAACTCCCGAGGGAACAGGTGCAAATGATGAACAAAAACCATTGAAAGTCACAGCCTGACTGCGATCTCTAACATAAGACTCAAGCCATCGCAGCAAATCACCGTGGACCCCAAGTCCATGCAATTTCTCAATCAAAATGTCAAAATTTATTCGATCGAACGCTTTGGAATAATCCGTGTACACCACATCAACCTGATGACCATCCTCCATGGAGCTCAATACATAATCCAAAAACTCACAGAGGTTTGTCTCAGTAGATCTATGGCTTATAAAACCATGTTGTTGCTCTATAATATGAGGCCTAATCAATGGAAATAAAAAATCATAAACTATACGTTCAAACATCTTAGGGATGGCACAAATTTTAGAAATTGGTCTGTAGTTAGCTATGTTATGTTTATCACCGCTCTTAAAGACTGGCACCACGAACGACCGCTTCCAAATACGGGGCATAACACCAGTTGATAATGAGTGATTAAAAAGAAGATGCAAAGGGTAACACAGCTGAGCGTAACATTGTCGCAAAAAAACAGGCGGAATACCATCCGGACCAGCACCCTTGGAAATATCAAGATTTTTTAAATATTGCTTGACTTTACCCACCGAAATAAAAAATGAAGAAATATCTACACAGTTAAGGTCGTAAGAAGCAGGGGTATAACTTAACGATGATGTTGACTGTGTATTGTTAGTTAAAAAGGCAGAACCAAAATGAACATTAAATAAATTACATATTTCAGAACCATCAGATGAGCACCTATCATTTAAGAACAATTCGTTAGGAAAATCCCCAGCACTCCTCTTGGATTTAACAAATCTCCAAAATTGCTTACTGCACTTCAAGATATCATCCTCACACTTTGTTATGTGTGCATTGTAACAGCAAATTTTTAAGGCTTTTTGTCTTTCACGAAGAACAGAAAAACTTGAATAGTCGGCCAATCGACCATAACATTTCCATTTCCTGTGAAATTTTCTTTTTTCTTTAATCAACTTGATTAAAGCAGAGGAGTACCAGTAAGGGAAATTGGAGTTACCTCTTACGACCTTCACAGGCACATTATCAGAAATAATCTTGTCTAAGATTTCATGAAACTTGCCCACGGCCATGTCGACATCTAAATTCATAAAAGATTGTTTCCAATCAATTTTCGAAAGTTCCTCGTTAATAATAGAGTAGTCACTTTTATGGAAAAGCAATATGGACCGGCCAGGAGAACGTAGGGGTCTCACGTCTAACCCCTGAATCTGAATATCTAAGGCTGGATGATGATCATCCTCAGATACAAGAGGAAGGGACGAACGAACAACCTTACAAGCACAATTACTTATTACTAAATCTAAGCATCTTTTATTTATATTAGAAATCGAATTAAATTGTTTAAAACTATTAAAAGCTAAAAAATTAGAAAGACCAAAGACAAGTGAGTCCCACCGATCACCATTCAAGAGTCTAGCAGGTCCATCAACACCGATCAGCTCCCAAGAAGCATTCCTTATATTGAAATCGCCGACGCACAAAAATTCGTCACCGGGATTAGTAATAATTGTGTCAGAAATATCCTCAAAAAAACCAATTTCATCTTCAAACTGAGAGGAACATTGAGGAAAATAGCAACAGTAAAGATGGAGTAGTTTACTAACGTTATTGTGCTTAATATTTATTTTTATCGAAATAATATCAGCTGATCGGTTTCTGTTGGAAGGGAGACAGGTTAAATTAAAAACGGTAATTCCTCTACGCACAGCAATAAGTACCCCGCCACCCAAAGAATCATTTCGAGAGTTATAGTTCCGATCGCAACGGTAAACAACAAAACGCTCATCAAACAACTCCGAGTCATAAATACCCGGCATTAACCATGTCTCACTAAGACATATAATATCATTATCACATAAAATAATGTTTCTATAAAACAAATTAGTTTTACTACGTAAACCACGAACGTTCTGGTAAAAAATCTTTAAATTAGCCATTAGAGAGAGAGAGAAAAAATAGATCATATAAATAATTAACCAACAGTATTAATAGTCCACGGCTCAAACCACAGCATAATAATTGACATGTCAATACATAAGTACCTACACATACGAGAATATAGATCTCAACATTAATCAAACACCCACCCCAGGAGTAAAAGTTCCAAACGAACAATATAAAAAATTCTCCAATGCTAAACAATAAGTATGTTGCTATATCATAACAAGCCTTACATAATAATGTTATTAAAATAGTTAAAAAAACATTTAAAAGTTTCTCAAAAAAATGAAATAGTCCGATCATCAACTTTTGAAAAGAAAAAAACAAAATTATGATATATTTTACATTACAAAAAATAGCATGTGCTTTAAAAACAATGAATATAATAATAAGGAAAACACCTATATAATTTTTTTTAAATCATCTTGGGAAGCAATCACGACTGGCGGACTAACATCGTTTTTTCGCACCAGTATAGTACAATTACGTACCCACACGTATTTGTAAAATTTTTCCTTGGCTAAATTTTTTACGTTTTTTAACAAAAGTTTATTATTTTTCGTGAGGTGGTCATTAAAATAAAGCCTAGATGAATCATGTGGGAATCCAATATCAGAAGATTTCAATTCCTTCAATCTCCGCAATTTAGCCAACATGTCATCCTTCCTATATCGGGATACAAATCTAAGAATAACTGGCTTTGATCTGCTACTGCTTCTGTCCATCGGCGCAACCCTTGTAACAAAATCGACGTCTATCTGAGGATTCAAGGCAAAACCCGCCTTCTCGGCAATTTTCGAGACCAATTCTATTAGATTTTCGCCTTTCCTTTCGGGGATACCCAGAATTTCTATATTAGATCTCCTGCTCCACTGCTCTTTTAAGTTGAATTGAGAATCAATGGATTGCATTCTTGAATCCAGTATACTGAGCTCGTTTTTGAGTGTTGGAATAACTTTCAGATGGTCATTAAACTCAAGAAATCTTTTTGATATGGCTTCATACTTGTCACTAATGAAGGAGACACTATCACGAAGAGTTGAGATTTCACTCTTGAGTTCAAGAATAGTGTCCCTGAAACAAGCAACAGCTTCCTGGACTTCCGCGCGCACTATACTCCTGACCTGTTCCAAAGGGACAACCTGTAATTCAGGTCCCTCACGTTCCCTGGATCCAGTACGCAACGGTCTCATCGTAACATTGGATGTATCAGGTGCTCGAGGCCTCACATTGCCTCGGACAGGAGTGTCATCATTAACAGTGCGTGATCTAGTCGCACAATTAAGACATATCCATGTAGACTTAAATTCTGAATCCGGCGTCCAATCCTTTTTTGCAGGAAGAACACAGCCGATATGATAATAATTTCTACACACTGTACACACCAAGGTTGACTTCTTATTGTCACGAGTATTGACCACTTTATTACAGCAGGTGTACTCCATAATAAATTATAAATTAGGAGATTAGATTCAAAGTAATATGAAGGCAATGTATAATTTAGCAGGTGAGTTCAGTTAATTGTTGGAGCAACAGGGCGACGACCAAACGCAGGTCCAGCGACGCAAGTTCACGCCCGGCCACACGAGTACTTTTTTGAATGTTTGTAATTTCTTCGACTCGACACACTCAAAGCGCACACGCGTGTCAAGCAAACATGCACCCACCGGCAGGCTCAAGCGAGAAGCAGCCACAATAAGAAAGCTAAGGCGTATCTTACCTAGCTTCTATCTCTGTTACACCGCCCAAAAGGTGGAGTCAGCTGTTAAAAACGTTAAGGAAGAACAAGGAGCCACCGATGAATTGAAAACGACCAATCACAATTTAAAATTAACAAATTTAAACTTAAATGAAACGATAATGCCACAACAACCACGGAGACGTCCACTATCTACGGTCGCAACGCACGAATGGTTTAATCATTTAACTAACATTTAAATTGTTCAATCATGTTGATGTACTTGTTATTCCTCTGCCATTGTTCCTGCTTACCTAATTCTAAACATCTCACAACACCAAAAGCCTAGAAGATTCACTTGATGTTAGACCGAACAACACCGTTGATATACTAGACATTCCTCTGCCATTGTTCTGTCTTAACTAATACTATTCATCCCACAACATCAAAAGCCTAGAAGATCTGCGTAAATAAGATACAATTATTACTAGACCGAACAATACCGTTGATGTACCAGACATTCCTCCGCCATTGTTCTGGCTTACCTAATCCTAATCATCTCACAACATCAAAAGCCTAGAAGATTCACTTAATGTTAGATCGAACAATACCGTTGACGTACTAGACGATCCTCCGCCATTGTTCCAAATTACCTAAACCTAATCATCTCACAACATCAAAAGCCTAAAAGATTCACTTAATGATAGATCGAACAATACCGTTGACGTACTAGACGCTCCTCCGCCATTGTTCGAAATTATCTAACCCAAATCATCTCACAAAATCAAAAGCCTAGAAGAGTCACTTAAGGTTAGATCGAACAACACCGTTGATGTACTAGACATTCCTCCGCCATTGTTTCTGCTTACCTAAACCTAATCATCTCACAACATCAAAAGCCTAGAAGATTCACTTAATGATAGATCGAACAATATCGTTGACGTACTAGACGCTCCTCCGCCATTGTTCCAAATTACCTAATCCTAATCATCTCACAACATCAAAAGCCTAGAAGATCTGCGTAAAGAAGACACAACTATTACTAGACCGAACAATACCGTTGATGTACCAGACATTCCTCCGCCATTGTTCGAAATTATCTAACCCAAATCATCTCAGAAAATCAAAAGCCTAGAAGAGTCACTTAAGGTTAGATCGAACAACACCGTTGATGTACTAGACATTCCTCCGCTATTGTTGCTGCTTACCTAAACCTAATCATCTCACAACATCAAAAGCCTAGAAGATTCACTTAATGTTAGATCGAACAATACCGTTGACGTACTAGACGCTCCTCCGCCATTGTTCCAAATTCCCTGAACCTAATCATCTCAACATCAAAAGCCTAAAAGATTCACTTAATGATAGATCGAACAATACCGTTGACGTACTAGACGCTCCTCCGCCATTGTTCGAAATTATCTAACCCAAATCATCTCACAAAATCAAAAGCCTAGAAGAGTCACTTAAGGTTAGATCGAACAACACCGTTGATGTACTAGACATTCCTCCGCCATTGTTTCTGCTTACCTAAACCTAATCATCTCACAACATCAAAAGCCTAGAAGATTCACTTAATGATAGATCGAACAATACCGTTGACGTACTAGACGCTCCTCCGCCATTGTTCCAAATTACCTAATCCTAATCATCTCACAACATCAAAAGCCTACAAGATCTGCGTAAAGAAGACACAACTATTACTAGACTGAACAATACCGTTGATGTACTAGACATTCCTCCGCCATTGTTCCAAATTACTTAATACTAATCATCTCACAACATCAAAAGCCTAGATTTGCGTAAAGAAGACAGAACTATTACTAGACCGAACAATACCGTTGATGTACTAGACATTCCTCCGCCATTGTTCCTGCTTACCTAATCCTAATAATCTCACAACATCAAAAGCCTACAAGATCTGCGTAAAGAAGACACAACTATTACTAGACTGAACAATACCGTTGATGTACTAGACATTCCTCCGCCATTGTTCCTGCTTACTTAATCCTAATAATCTCACAACATCAAAAGCCTACAAGATCTGCGTAAAGAAGACACAACTATTACTAGACTGAACAATACCGTTGATGTACTAGACATTCCTCCGCCATTGTTCCAAATTACTTAATACTAATCATCTCACAACATCAAAAGCTTAGATTTGCGTAAAGAAGACAGAACTATTACTAGACCGAACAATACCGTTGATGTACTAGACATTCCTCCGCCATTGTTCCTGCTTACCTAATCCTAATAATCTCACAACATCAAAAGCCTACAAGATCTGCGTAAAGAAGACACAACTATTACTAGACTGAACAATACCGTTGATGTACTAGACATTCCTCCGCCATTGTTCCAAATTACCTAATACTAATCGTTTCACAACATCAAAAGCCTAGATTTGCGTAATGAAGACAGAACTATTACTAGACCGAACAATACCGTTGATGTACTAGACATTCCTCCGCCATTGTTCCTGCTTACCTAATCCTAATAATCTCACAACATCAAAAGCTTACAAGATCTGCGTAAAGAAGACACAACTATTACTAGACTAGAGTGATATATTCTTGATCACATCTCAAAACATTCAATGCAGATTAGTTCGGTGTCAAGAAGGAGCACCTACCAACGATAATCAATGGAGGGAAAAATGTTTAGCGGACGACACCCGGCCTGATACGATAAAATGTCCTACGATGACAAGATCTCTATAGTTGTGATATTTGGACTAATTTATGTATGCGCAATTTAGCATTTATCGCATAACCCTGATGTTGCAACCCTACATTAACTATTGTCCAACAAATGTTACACATCAATTTGTACCAATGTAATACATCAATTAGTGTTTCCATTTTTTAAAACCGTTCGATTGATAAATCAAAACTCTATATTTATCTGGTTAATCGAAATTTTCGTATAAAGTTGACCTTTATTGAATTATTTAGTTTACTATCAAACCACAATTACTTAGTTCAAAACCTGGGAAAATTGAGATGAATTGAAGATTGATAATATTTCGTTACATCGTCTTTTAAGAATTAACTCCAGATACGATGTTTCAAACCTAACATTCCCGTAATATCGTCATCGATGAAACGCATATGCAGATGACACAAACACCCTCTTACTCGGCTAATTACATAGACATTTATTTCTAAAAGTGACACGCTTAAGATCCAAACTCGTCATCCACGTATGTTATAAGAAATAAAATTATATTATAGAGCTTAAATATACCTAACAAAGATACACTTGAGACTAGAACTCACATTTGGCTCCAACATTTGTGAAACCGGCATTATTAATTAACTGAATTATATTTTAGCCCGATGCGGCAACCAACCGCAATTTTAATTAAACTATGGATTTGATGATTGCTTTTTTTTTTGGGATTGTTTTAGAGACAACTTTAAGGACTATCATTAAAAGGTCAAGGTTGTAATAGAATGTTATAAAGGAATTGTTCCATTAAATTCATCGTTCGCCTCCAGAGTTGTACACGTGTACATTTGGACACGGAGCTCATTTTGCAACAATGGCTCTGAGATTGTGTGATGACGTCATTGTGTTACCGATTTTTTTTTATTGCCCTTGTAGGCAGACGAGTATACGGCCCACCTGATGGTGAGTGGTCACCGTCGCCCATGGGCTTCAGCAATGCCAGGGGCAGAGCCAAGCCGCTGCCTACAAACTTTACTTTTACGACTTTAAATATTAATGTATTAATCGCGAAAAAAATCTGTGAATGTCACTATCTTTCATTCCTACGAATACCGATCTTCGTATGTTGAAGAAATTTAGCAAAACTTCAGTTATAAAATTAGGGCATTAGGTATTTTTTAATGATTTTCTTCGATTGCACGTGATGTAATAAAATGTAGCGCCGAAACATTAATGATTATTTTCAAAGTTTTTACTTCTAGTTAGGACAATTAAGTAATTTGGCACATGATAATGTAACCAATATAACGAAATGAACTAAAGGACGCGGTAAAACAATGACGTGATCACGCATCCGCGTTACGTATTCTATCTTAAATTAAATTATGAAATAACAAATAAAACTTGTGAATTTCGATTGAGAGGCAATGTGTTAAGGTTTTGACATCACTTATTGTATTATCTTGATGGCTAGCTGCAAGTCTATGAATTCCGAAATCGATTTACGTGAAGTGATGTTTCCCTCTGTTTTTATTTCAAACATTATTTTCGTGTAATAATTTAAATGTTATTTATATTTCGAAGTGAATCGTTTTCCCGAAAAAAAAATATCTAAACAATTTTAAGCCAACAATCTCGCTATCGTGTTGTAGAAATACCGTGTTATAAGAGGGTTTTGAGGATTTTACTTTTCGTGTTATAGTGGAAGTGTGGAATACAGTGTTATTGGAGAGTTACCTCTATAATAAAAAAAACGGAATGCCACCGTAGAGGTGACACGACTTTAACTTCTGTATCCTTTTGTATGGACCAATCAGTCCATATGCTACCTAGGATTACTGTAAGTTTCCATAACATCGCACTGGAAATAAAGCACTCAATTTCTTAAGAATCCGTCGACCTAGTCATTGTTTTAGAAAAAAATGCGCTCCCTCGTTTAGGATTCAGAATAAATAAGTCAGACAGATTGTGTGGAATGCGTTTTGAATTTATCCAACTTAGCAGAGCCCAACACCAGTTCACGATCGGCGGGACTCCCAAAAAAATTGACATTTGTAATTTTGTACTTAATTTAAAACACGAAGGCCAATTATATTAGACTAATATTACAATAAACAGCTAAAAATTCTAGAATACGGAATATCCTCACCATTACACCTATTCATCTAATAGTAATAATAATAATACTGGATGGATAATATAATAAATTATCGCGATAAATTCAGTTTTCTGTTTCATAAGATCTCATTGTCAGTATACTATTCAAAAAGCTCTTAATATTACAGTAAATCTTAAATATAGTTTGATGCAAGAGTTCATTTTCCTTTATTTACTTGATCAAATTATCGAAATTTCAAATAATGTTTAAGCTCTTACTCAGCGCAGCCCGGGAACGTGAACAATGGCAATAAACAAACACAACTCAGTTACGAACTCAAATATTCCGAGATATATACGGAAAAAGATGTTTAAAAATTTCTCAATCACAAAAAAGGAGTAGTAATAATATATGAAATTACAATATTTTAATATTAATTTTTTATGAATTTTTATAATCGTTAAAATATGAACACTCTTCGATTTGGACGGAGAGGGCAAGAGAACGAGGAAAATTATACCTACTGCATTTGTCGGAACTGCGACAGCCACAATCACAGTCGTCACCGGTTGCAGGTTCGACGATATTGCGATAAATCGTTATTACAAGCGCTTCGATTTAAATACAGCTACAGATATGTAAATATTTCACATTTGCATTTAAACCCCGCAACACATAGACGCGAGTCCCGCCGATCGCATCGGAATTCATTAGCACGCATTTCCGTGGTCGCCTCTCATTCGAAACGATACAAGCAAAATAATCATACATTGCACAATGTTGCAGACACCGCCTAACTACAAAATCTTAAATCAAATCAAATTCAATTTACACATAAAATTACCCATTACAGTTGTTTTCTAAAGACCATATTTAATACAGTCCCGTCGTAACGGACATTTCAGACTTCTTAATAAATTTTAAAAATTTTCCAACTCCATCCTAACTACGAGTTTGATAATCACTCAAGTTTCTAGAAGATCGTGAGTCCCTCAGCGATATCTATGCGAGTCTACCTAAGATATGAATAATGTTTCACTTATAATGAAGTCGGTTGTGTGTTCAACGGAAATTATGGTCGGTCCATTGTCGGAAACGTCTGATTGCACCGGGCCCGTGTGTGTACGCCTCTGCGGCTACTATGCTATACGTTACCGATAAAAACTAATAATACTGAGCGAAAATCATAATACGCTGCCCCGGTAACCGCGTCACTACAATTTTGGCCAACACGAGTAATTCACGAACGACTCTAATCTGCGTAGCGCTTTCGAAGAACCGAATTTTAATTAAACTTTACTTTAAATAAATAAAATAACAAGCAGAGTCGCCGCACGCGGCTATCATCGTTTCGATGATCGAGATTTAAGTACCCCGAGCTTCGTATCTTTGTGTGCGCTCTGTTACGGCTTTAGGGTCACACTGCTTCCGCTGTATGAGCAGTTCCAAATGGACTACAGCTAAGTAGTAACGTATACAAACAAATGACGCTGCTCGCGTACCTAAAAGACAGAAATTACGTGAAGTAAACGTCGTCGTCGCTTGAAATCGAACACAACATAACGGTACAAGTTAAAACACGTTCTACGATTCGTATATAGATAGACACATACAACGGTACTAATTAACAGTAACATTTTATATATTGGAATCTACTGACGCACAAAAGTGAAAACACAGCATCTCTGGGTGCTTAGTGCGAGTTTTTTAACTTCTCGATAGCGTAAAAGTTAACTCGAATTTGTATGGATTTGACGCGTTTGCCTACATTTGTCGCTAGGGGCGCTGTTCCAACTGCATACAAATTTGAGTTAACTTTTACGCGATCGAGAACGTTTAATTAAACGCAAAAGACGCATCAGGCGCCTGCGCAATGCCGCAAGACGATTAATTCATCGTATTGTAACTCAGCTTGTGTGTTCACCTTTGATTTTACACCAATTAGAAATATACCCGACCGATCGAGTCACGACATGACCATCGGTTACAAGTACGCACAGAAAGAATACATTGATATTATATAACGAACACCGATAGTAAGTTAATACGAATAAATACGCCAATATGACTTTAAATATTAGGGTAATTGACTTGACACGAACTCAATCATGTAAAATATTAAAAACAATGTACATTATGCCACCGGAATTCTGTGATGCGTATTAAAAACGGTAATAAATTCGATTGTAACTAAATAAAACATAAATGTTTTTTTTTTATTAAAATTTTGATTGTAATGTTGTCAAGTACCCTAAATAAATTGCTTCTGTTTCTTGATGACTCACTATGGTTTTCGGTTGCAGACTATCGTTATCGAAACATGGCCACGCGGGCATTCAGAACCTAGAAACGACTGTGTTCGAACAATAACCGTAATAATTCTAATTTGCAATTGTTACGTTCCATTCAAATATTTATTATAATCGTTAAACTCTATATTTAATTCGAAGAATCACTCGAATCGTACTAAATTGTTAAGTGTCTGGTTAAATTGCAGTATTCATTATTTAGAAACTGCACTGTTTTTTTTTCAAGGACAAGTAGACGAGCTGACGATAAACGTCGCTTATGGGTATCGGTGTGGTAACACCGACGCGTCACTCGTCCCGAGTATTGAGTTCCTCGTGTACGTATCCAAACGCGAAGTATCACGCAGCGGGCGTCACGTGACACCGCGTGTCCTTACAAGAGGCTTGGGCTGACTGTGGATAATGCGTGCACTACCGGCCTCCCTGCTTTCACTCTGGAACGCAATAATGCGCAATGCATTACCGCTGTGGCAGAAGAACAAGTCAGGACGGTGGTACTACCCCGGGCGGGTTCGAAGAGATACCCTACCACCTATACAAATCAGACATTTGAATGGAATGTAAATTTAATAATTATTCGGAAAACGCATATTCTTTTTTTTATATTTATTGCTTAGATGGGTGGACGAGCTCACAGCCCACCTGGTGGTTAAGCGGTTACTGGAGCCCATAGACATCCACGACGTAAATGCGCCACCCACCTTGAGATATATGTTCTAAGGTCTCATGTATAGTTGCAACGGCTGCCCCACCCTTCAAACCGAAACGCATTACTGCTTCACGGCAGAAATAGGCAGGGCAGTGGTACCTACCCGCGCGGACTCACAAGAGGTCCACCAGTAATTACGCGAATCTATCTGCACAGCTATTTGCGTTATTTATGAAAACAAAATAATTGTAAAAGCGATTTAATTTTAAACGTTTTTTTTTAACATTTATACCGAAAATAAAAACGTTTTAATCGTGGCTGTCGTCTCAAGTTTCTGTAAGTACCCATTTTCTGACAATGTTATTGTGTTGCCATGTAACGACACGACGGTACATTCAGGAGACCATCCTACCATTATTCACCAATAAACAGGACCCGCGTGCTTGAACCATAACACATTAATGTGTACTACACTTTTATTATATATTGGCGCCCCAATGGCCATAGCAGACTTCTATGAATTGCCTAAGCATAACGTAATGGAGATTTGTGTCATTTTTTATCTCGTGCTTCGATGGTGTTTTCAGGTTTATCGCGAGGGCCATTAGAGCGCCGATCGACTCAACAGTCTCGGCTAACCTAACTACAAAGATTACGTGATCCAAAACATTGTCTTTGAACTGTTTATTTTTAGAAACTAGACAATGTAAACAACTTTACTTATGATTTAGATTTGGGTAGAAATTGGAAATAGCAGAAGCGCTTGTTGTCTGGTTTAATTTGAAATCAGAATTCAATGAAAGTAACGATTGAGAGATTATTGAAGGATTGAGGATTGGTAAAGTCCAAAAAAAGAAAGTTACTTGTGAAAAAATACTATTGGATGCTAAGTGATCACGAAGAAAGAGTCAGCTTACAATTTTTCTGAATTGTTCACTAAATAATGTTTTAGGATCAAATGGAAGATACAATGATTTTTTTAACGAAAGTAACTCTGAAATATCTTCCAAATTACATTTCCCTTAGGTTCTTATTGAGCGATAGTTCACTTTGAATTTTAGAAGAAATATATCAGACACGCTTTGTTGTACATTATGTTTGATTGAAATGTTTACATATAGTTCTTAATGGTTTAACCTATAATGGAATACACTGAAACACCGATATACATCTACAGTTTTACAATATAATTTGATTATCTCCTAAGCTTCTCGTAAAATAATTACATTAGATATTGAAACTCTTAATTCCATTAAACAAAATGGAACGGTTAGCTTCGACTGATGTTCTACCCCGTACCGTGTTGTCCTTCTGACAAAATTGTTTAGACGAAACATCGTTCCATTTTGTCATTATTAAATAAATAAATAAAATTCGATTGATGGCTTTAAATAAGTCCCTAGAAGAATAAGGCTTAAACACTATAGTAAGTATATTACACTACACTACACTAATACATAGAGCGTAAATATAATGTCTTTTGATCTAATGTTTAAACGCTATGAAATGTGTTACTATGATATGATGAAAGGTTTTTTTTGTATTTTTTTTTCTTACTGTTTTTCATTTTTTTTCCTTTAACATTATTGTTTATATAACACAAACTTACATAATAACACCGATTATGTTGTACACATAGCTAAAACATCAAATTATTAATTTCAAATCTTAATATTTATTCACGTGTTGACTGACGGGCGCTGCATCGAAATGTAAAATTAAATAAATGTCTTTTATACAATACGGTTAAAAATAGAGGAATCGATAAAAAGAATTATTCGGTTAAAATATATGAGCGAGCTATTTAAAATAACCTAAAAATCGAATTAAATTCGAAACTATAACAGGCCTAAAACTACAAAGAAACTAGTAAATAATTCACAATTGTCCTGGATATGTCGAAAGGTAAATTGATAACTTCAACTGAACTGTGGGGCATGGGGCTGCTGTTGTAAAGGGCCATTCGAACTCGGGAGGCGTACAGCTTGCCCGATGTACCGCAATATCAGTATTAGCGAAACTAATATACTGACACACTGATTAGCATAATTGTCCATCTGTCGCAAACCGCGCTCGGCGGGAGACTCGTCGCCCGCTGACGAACACTTCCAGTATCTACGTACAACACTACTAGTAAAACAACACCGATTAATTGTCCTTTAAGCTTGTAGAACGAACACTGACCATAAAATATTTTACCTAAAATGCCGAGACTGTTGCGCGACACTACAGGGGACGGGGGAGGGGGAGCCGGGGTGCTCGGATATACTGGATACGAACGATTATACTCATGTACGTATTACATTAATATCTTACGCGCTAGGAGCCGAGTCTCTGCGAAGCGATGCAGTTCGCTCAAAACATTCGCGTTCTCGTGCGTCCACACGACGCGACTACGCTCTGAATGTTGTGGGCGGGCTGAATCGAACACAAGCTGTGTCGCGGAGAGGAGTTGGCGTGTGACGGCGCCGTCCTAACTATTTACATAACACGACACAACCGACAAACGTATCTTTAAGCATATTTTGTCAGCGATATGCTCGAAGAATTGTTAATAATTACGGTTGTCGACAGTGTCGATGGTACGACTAGCAGTTTACAAGCGATCACAGTATTTACAACAGGAGGCGAAAGCGGGTCGCACTCGTAGATGAAGCTTAATTTTTTTTGTGTTTTTTTTATTATTATTTTTCTCATAATATCAGTAAACAGTTTTTCTATGTTACACGTATAGGTTAGAACGCTAAGAGAGTCGCAAAGTTGAGTGTAGGTGTGTGAGTGGAGGCGACGCGCGTCACACGTGGCAAGGCGGCGGAGAGCGAGACGGTGTGCGCCCGCGCCACACCGCGCCCTCACGCCCCCTCGCCTTCTCTGTAACATTAAAACAAAACACTGTAATACCACACTAGCGTACTTAGTGCGAGTTTTTTAACATTCTCGATAGCGTAAAAGTTAACTAAAATTTGTATGCAGTTGGAATAGCGCACCTAGCAGCAAACGTAGGCGAACGTTCCAACTCTATATAAAGTTTAGTTAACTTTTACGCTATCGAGAACGTTAAAAACTCGCACTGAGCCGACAGATCATTTCCCCAGACATTGAAACGCACACACATGCAACATCTAATAAATAAAATGGATATTTGGACATCTATTTCCAAGCACAACGGGGACACATAATGAGCACTTCGTCGTGATCTGAAGTTACTTTAGGTATTTAACTGCGAAACTGCCGAATGTATACAGAAGTTAAAATCACTTTTAAATGAAATATTAAGTAAGATATAACGCAAAACATCCAACCCTCATTTGCGTCCAAAGCTCTTGTAGCTTAGAGACCACAAGAGGTCCAGTATTATCCTGTAGGAACAGCGGGAGCTAGCGATTAGCCAAGGCCGGCCGGAGATTCCAATATCTAGTTCCTCACAGCACACATCCGCAGTAATGAGGGTGCCATTTGGAAAGAAGCCGTGATGAATAATACCGGCACTAGACCACCAAACAGCGAACGTGAATTTTTTAGGTAAGTATTGGACCAGATGCGGGACCAGTGTCTAAGCAACATGATAATCGGTTAGGATTATCAAAAAGAATCCATTTTTCTCGTGTTCCATAATTACTTGTATTTCATTGTTTTCATCTTAATGAAAAAAATACAAATGTAGTGAAAACAAAACACCAAACAGTAAACGAATGGCTGAATTAAAAAATATTTTTTTATTTCATATTTAAAACAAAATTGAATCTAGTATTCATTGCCAGACATACATAAATTACGTTTCAAATTCCAGTATTTTAAAGGGTTATGTCATAGATGTTACCTACTGCTGCTGATTTAGACCCTTGCGTATATCAACTTATTTTATTTAAATGTGTGCAGGCGATATATAATATTACTGTTTGTGTCTGTGTTACCCGATCATTATAGCTTAGTGTCATATTATACATCTCGCATACATACATGAGAAGAAAAAAGAGGCGACACTCGCCCATTTTCTTTCATCTCCCGCCAGATATTCGCTAGCTGGCGTCCGACCTTATCGTTCAACATATACGAGTAACTCTCAAAACAACATCTAGGCTACGATTCGAACTTGACACATTGACATTGTCGGCCTAGTAAATTTGTGATGCAAGGGAAAGCAGCATAGCGTTACGACTTTTTATTCTGGAAACTAGTAGTTTGTGCTGTTTTGCACACATTGGCATACTAAGCGGTCTTGTAACACCCACTAATTAAATATTACCGATGAGAATCGACTTACGAACTTGGCAAAATCGATGTGACGTATTTACGTGTGCATGCGTACAAGGACGAGCTTATGATCGGTCAATTATTATTACATTTAAAACCTAACGACGATTTGATAAGTCGAAGAATGTCACACTAAAGCATTGTAGCAAATGGGCAGCACGATAACACAAGGTTATGAGTTTGTAATATTATGTCACACAGATGTTTGAATCGACTGCAGCTCTCTATCCCTTCCATATTCGTGATAAAACGATCAATAGCGATGCTTTTCTATTGCTGCCAAGATGACACAAGATGAGCGAATAGGAAAGCTAGGCCAAATTTCTGGCACGCTCTATTGTTTTGGATTTCAACAAAACCGATTCAAGTTTTGTTTTTCGGCAAGCTTAAAGCTTTTATTGCAAAAAAGAATTTAATGGACTTAGCGTGCTCTGTGGAATCTTTGGGTAATTAAGGAATGACCAAGTTTGGTGTTGCGGAATATTTCACGGTTCTTGGATGCCCGCAATACATCAAAAGCGGCAACTCCAATTTGCTTGAAAAGTTCTCTGAAGTAGGTCAGACGAGACCCGTCCAGCGAGAACTTCGTTTTCAATTAAAGAATAAACAAATTTTTCTACTCAGACAATTTTCGAAATTAGAATTGATTTTTGAATAAAACTTATTTAGAATGTTAGGGGGGTAATCCGAGTATGGTACAAACTTATTTCATAAAATTTTAATTCCTTATTATTCTCCTTATCACATACTAAAGTTTGTAAAGTATTGTCGGAGGTACCTTCCAGCCTTAGTTTTCCGAGCTACTAAAACATGTTAGATTTGTGCATGTATATCTCTTGTGTATGCTGCTCTATCTTTGGAATAATTAAACTGAATGTAAGGGAACTGTACCCAAAGTTGAAACTAGTGATTTACTAAGCTTATTTTAAAATACAAATAGGTTTTACAGGGTGTTTGGTCAACCCGCAATCTATAACGAAGACAGGTGGCTCCGCGTCATTCGATATCTAGGACACAGATTAAAAAAAAAGGATAAAAAAAGTATATAGTTAAAAAAAAAGGTAAAGTGCAAAAACACTTAACAAAAATATACTTTTTTAACTTTCGATCGTAATTAATCACCACCTATTTTCGTTCATAGAACGCCTCGTTGTACAGGGAAGGGTTGATGGTACAAGACCGCGCGGGACCAATGCGGTGGACCGACCAAATGAAAGCTGCAGTGAGAGGTCCCCTAAATGAGTGCAGTAGAATGGCCTCGAGCAGGGAGAGATGGCGGGACATCGCAAGACGCATCGAGTCTGCCCCTGCCAACAGTACATGACGATCACGACCACTCTGTCGAAGTCAAAAGTGACGATGGAGAAGAATTTTTGTTCTCGGGTTCGGCTCATCACACCCGGCATCAGTTGAGATAATCTACTAACATACTTTTCTAACAGACGAATGCTCAATATGCGTATAAAAAGGTCAAAGCCAAGCGAAATTAATAACAAAAAAAGCTAAGTGTATATTTTACATGTTTTGATTCAATATGCACTCGTAGATTTTTGTCCACTCAAAAGTTCCCTTTGCTCAATATACGTTGGTGTTACAATTTTTTTTTTGTTGCCCTTGTAGGCAGACGAGCATACGGCCCACCTGATGGTGAGTGGTTATCGTTGCCCATGGACTTCAGCAATGCCAGGGGCAGAGCCAAGCCGCTGCCTACTGCAATTTTCTTTAATACATTACTTTTATGGTATCGAGCTTGGTTTACAAAGCGCAATTGGGCAATCGAACGTGCGTGCGTTCTTATTGAATCCAAAATAGTGAACGGGTTTGTTAAGTGAGCGACTACGAAGCTTGACATACCCTCTCGTTTCAATGGATTCTTTAAGATACACTTTTGTGGATAAAATATTTGAGTATGTAAAACGTGCATGAAGCGTTTATGTGGTGGTATCAGGGCCTTCGTAAATAGGCCTTCGTAAATACAATGAAATGAATAACACGATTTTTGCAACCTATTGTTTTTCGACTTACTTTCACATTGCTTTTTTTTTTATTGTTTTACACATTAAAAAACAAAACCGGTGTTTTTATTTTGGCATATTATTAATATTGGGGGATTCGTTTTTTGACACACAACATCAACTAAGTCAAACAGGAAACAAATAAGGGATTTACAGTTACAGCGACCAGCGATCTATGTCCTTACTATGGAGAAAAATAAGACAAAGTTCACAGTTATTTCTGTTACCGTATACATGAAAGTAAATTTTTATATTAAATTAATGTTTAAGAGCAAACATTTTCAGCGCTTAGCCACTGTGAATCTTGGGTCATGGAGAATTCTCGCTAGTAAGTTCAATCGTATGGTCATATATTTACGTACATATAACATTTACAACTTACATAGTATCTTAAACGTAGGTTTCAGCCGTGGTGACGTCGCGAATTCGAGTTCGTGGAATAACACGACCTGATCACAAATCGGGCAATCAATCGTTATGTATCCGTAGCAGATTACGTGTCTTAATTTTGCTTTTGTTATTTAAGTCCTTCAATTCCGAGTTGCAAGTTGTGTGAGAATTAATACTGTGGTTATATCAAATTCGGGTTAATATCTTTATTGATGTAAGTAAAACATATTTTTGCACGGTTCAAATTTATATTTTTCTTGTCATCCAACGTGCTGTGAGCTAGCTAACAAAATTAGCTTATCGTTAAATAGTGTTATATATATTTCGTAACCGTTCTGGGTAGCTAAAATAATATTCCGTTAGGTCTTCTAGAAGTGAAGCAGAAGTATTTGTTTTTGTATGTAATGATTGTCGATTTCTAAACTAAATGATGTTAATAGTGACTTGAGATAGGTTTGATTGTGCAGTAAGCATAGTGCTAAGATACGATGATCCAAGTACATCTGTTTTGCCATTGACGTGCTTTGGTTTATAACAGCGATGATTGCACCCACTACGAGTAAGTATCGAGAATGATTTATTTATTATATATACAATTGAATAAGTGTACATAAAAAATGGAAATACTGAAGTTTGGTCTGCTATTTGTACTGAGTCATTTTCGACAATTGTAGTCAGTACTGGTTGAACGAGTGTAAACCTAGTACTTTAGGTAGGTATCAATTTTATTTAATTCCGTGATAAAACCATTTAGTTCTCCTACTGCCTGATCTCACCGACAATTAGATAATAGTATAATTTATTTTAAAAGATTCACTCGATTACATCTCTACATAAATAGACAATAGAAAAAACTACACAAAGATAAATAATAAGCAATTACTATTTGTTTAACTGTAAAATTAAAAATTAAGCTAGGACTCCCTGTACTATGGGAGATTGATATACATACTTACATATAGACGTCTTAGTATATGTATACACATATAGATATTAAGTACCTAAGCAAAGAACAAACAAACCTGTTCATCACAGGAATGTTTGTGCAATGTGGAAATCGAACCCACAATCGACGCTACTTACTGCACCACAGAGTTAGATAATTCGTTTTTATATGTTTTTAATAACAGTTTATTTACTTAATATTCATGTAATGCGAATTATTTCTCAACTGTAATTGTTTTTGTGCTGAATAATATTTCAATCGCGAGTGGTGAAGGTTTTAGTTGTGCACTTCGATTCTAAAATTTTATTAGCCATTCTTAAGAACAAAATTGAGTAGACATTAGTAAAAGAAATAGTAATTGTTTGAGTAGTTCTCGACTTGGATTGTTGGGGTGATCTATGCTGAGTTTCCTTAGTCACTATCGATTTAAAAAAAACGAAAGCTTTAGTTACTTTTCATAGTTTAATTTGCTAGACCAATATTTTGACTTTGTAGTTTTATAGGATCCGTGCTATTATATCCGCTAAAGAACGGAAAGGTAAAACTAATTAGTTAACCCTTTGCTCTCGAGAGGTGGATATTACTCACCACATGTTTTAATAACAAGATGACAATCATCCAATAAAGTAAATAGTTTACACATTTTAATTTAAGTGTACTATTTAAGTACATTGATGAGCGAGAGTCATCTTTCAAGTGCAAATGGCTAAATTTTATTTTTATAAGTTTAGGGTGTTTTAGTATACTAACCTGTTAGTCAGACATCCGTTTCTATAGCCTCGGTGGCGTGCAGGTTGTTGACACGCACGGTGCAAGTGGCGCGGCGGCGGGCGCCCTGCTCGCGGCGAGGTGGGGGAGCCTCTAGGGCGAGGGCTTGACCCTGCCCGTGGGTCTGCCGGAGGTGGCGTGCGGCGTGGGCCGCCTGCTGACGCTGGAGCTCTTGCTGCTGCAGCTGCACGTCAATAGCGAGTACACTTAGTACTCTTAGTTCGGATTCATAGGTTAAATTTTACTGGTGGTAGGATCTCTTGTGAGTCCGTACAGGTGGGTACCACCACCCTTTTTTTTCGGACCCTTTGCCGAACCTCCTACGAGGTCCCCGCGCCTAGGGGGCGCGCGGGGCATGTGGGACTTGACTATCTGCAAGGTGTTGGAAGGAGACCGCGGGCCCAAGGAATTTTAGGGCCCTACCCACTAAACGACTCCCCTGCACTCTTCGCCTAAGCGTCCGATCCCCTCCGAGGTCAAACCCAGATGAGGTGGGGGGGGGTACCACCAACCTGCCTATTTCTGCCGTGAAGCAGTAATGCGTTTCGGTTTGAAGGGTGGGGCAACCGTTGTAACTATACTTGAGATCTTAGAACTTATATCTCAAGGTGGGTGGCGCATTTGTAGATGTCTATGGGCTCCAGTTACCGCTTAACACCAGGTGAGCTGTGAGCTCGTCCACTCATCGAAGCAATAAAAAAAAAATTTTTTATTCGTTCAATTTTAGTACCCGTAAATGGTTAATGAAGATATTACGTAAAAAGGATGAGTAACCTGATTGAGGCGCAGAGCGTCCTGATGCTCCAGAGCGGCGATGTCGTCGAACGCACCGGCCTCCATGGTGGCTTGCTGCTCGCGCAGAAGGTTCTCCTCCTCGCGGAGGCGGCGCAGGTTCTGCTCGAGTTGCGGCTCGGACGCCATGGCCGACTCGTCCAACTCCATCATCTCAGAAGAGGAGTCATCGCTCATAGAGGACTTCTTCTGTATTGGCCCTGAAACTGTTCCCGAGTTTGCCCTCGTCACTACGGTTAAATCTATTCCAGATTCTAGCGGTTACGGCTTGACCTGGAGTCGTGGAGTGCTCGGCTTGCTGAACTCGGCATTTGATCTATTTCTGGCGATCTATTGTTTAATCAATGTCAGATCCTAAAATAATATTTGCAGCGACGCATCACGACCTAGTATCGATATCGAGATTTTAATATTTATTTGACCCTACCAACCTTCTTACCGTCTATTTCAATTTGAAAACTAGCGATGTAAAGTCAATGACTAATTAATTAAGCAAGTATTCTTCGTATTTTCTAGAAAATCCTACTAGTTTAATGACTTCGTATCGTTTACGGGATTAGCTTCTGTAGTGCTATTAAAATGTAGTTTTTGGATAGAAAATAAAATTAGGTTTTATATATTGGGTGATTTTTTTAGCCTTGGATTGTGTTTGAAGAAGTAATATTTTTAGTCGAATCGATGAATTTTTCAAACAAACAGCCTAATTTGATTAAATATGCCACAAAATTGTATGACAGATTCTTAAATTTATTAAGAAAATTATAAAATCTTTTGCATACTCTAATGTGTGTGACGTTCTTTAAGTATGTATGCATACCTACTATTATCATGCGTAGAATGGAGCGACTCTATTCACAAATTGTTTTTTATTGAATCTAAATCAGTTTCGGAATACGAATTTAGAACTGGCCGGTTGCCATCTGTCGTGAGTATTACGAAATTACCGTTGATTTATTCAAACAACTTAATTGTAATACTATGTGTATTGTGTTAAAAATTTATCGTTAATAGGTGCTGGAACCACGTGTAAATTTGAAGTTATATAGTCTTTACGGAGAGACACTATAAGCACATTTGAATCGACTGAAAGAATTAATCGGTATTTTCTTATCGTAAATTAAAATCCTACGATGCAAATTGCCGGAACAGAATAATAAATCGGAAAGAAAAAAAATTGTAAAAAAAAATACAAAAGAAAAAGAAACAAAATAAAACTTACTTTTTACTTCCTCACTTTATGTCACAATATCGGTAAAACATGATTTCGGAACAAATATAAAATGTTTACGACTAATATATTAATACGGCCATTCACACGGCTGGTCGTCCTAATGTTCGCAACTAGGCATCGAATGGAAAGCGAAGTGATGATAAACAGCATACAAAATAAAATAAACAATAAATGGTGCATTTAGACAACTACATAATAAATAACATCAGAGAACGGCGGTTCGTATTTGGGTGGTGGTGCATGAAAAGCGTTTAGTGATTGACACGTTCACAACATGTTGTCGGCAACATGAGCCGTGTGAATGGCGAACAACATTCAAAACATATCAGCCGGCCGAGCTGAAATCGTGCCGCGCCTCGACTCTCTTCTCGCCCAAACAAATCATAAAAGTACTCGTAAATTTTACATTTCTTTTAAATCCTTGTACTGAAACGTTATTCTATAAATTTATATTATACGAGCATCGATGACTCTCAAAGTCATTACACATAAATGAGTTATCGGCTCCCGGAATATTTATCACGCGTTCGACCGAGTAATGTGAGTGATATATTGTTGAGATTTCCGACTATACTCGTAAATCATAATTAAATAACTACATGAAAATATTTTCCACTCAAACATAACTAAAAAGAAAAGTAAATAACAATTTTTATTATCTTATTTTTACATCGCTTACTGACTATATAATATTTACACGGAACTAATGGCACGCTTTCGTCCCTTACACGATAATATCACAAGAATCGTCTCTGCCGATCGGAATAGTCCTTAGTAATACAAAACGAACACACGAACGAGTCAGACAGTCAGTGGTCACAGCAAACCTCGTCCCTCTCATCGTCCCTCCCACCTGAAATTATCGAAAATCAACATAAACGAAACAAATCATAAGAAAATAAAAAAAAAAATAAAAAAAACGGAGCATGCAGTGCGAGGTAAAACTGTGAAGCGCAACGCATGCATATAAACCAACGGAGACAGTACGGACAATGGAGTTTACCAACATTCGCTTGGTTCGCAACACGTCAGTTCATATAACGAGAATGTTGAGCTTACACTAATGAAACGAAAAAACCGCGAAACTTACTCAGGTAGGGCTCGCCCATGGTTCCCGGCAGGTAGGGGCAGCTGGTTACGTGGTTGAAGTTCTGGGACTGCATCTCTTCCTGGTCAGTTTCGCGGTGGTAGAAGTAGTTGAAGTTGGAGACGATGACGGGCACGGGGAGGGCGATAGTGAGCACGCCGGCGATGGCGCACAGCGAACCCACGATCTTCCCCCAGACTCCGACCGGCCTGTACGCAGCATGAGTCACTTATTAGAAAGAGAAACGGCCCAACAATCACCTAACAATACAACATGTTGCCCTTACTCAGTAATTATTTCTGTCTGCAATAAATATTATCTTAACTGATAATAAACATGCAACATAATTTTACATACCATAGCTCTCAGATCAACAGCGTCCTCGTTCTTTTATGTTCATTAAGATAAACGAAATCTAAAGTTTTTTATTTTATTTATTAAATGTACATTACATAAAAAAGAGCTTAGCATTCGCATTTTTGCGTTTGTTTAATGAGAGTAGAAGAAGTACTATTTCATTCGTCATCTTTCATTCTCGCCAGCTAGTTACAGAATTATACTGCAACTTTTCAATAAACGCATTGCGGTTTCGTGTTATCGCCAGCGCTGCGTCCGCCGGAGGAGAATAGATCCATAAAATCGAACGCACAGCCAGATATTTTTCATTACGGACAATTAGCTAATTGTGCCTATAACGACATATCTCGTGTGAGTCCCAAAGATCCATTCCGCTCCTAACGAAGGCAGATTTAATTGAATACTTATTGATATATTACTAATAAATACTAAAACTAAAACATGACAAATACTACAAACGAAGACAAAAATCATGCACATAAACAAACCACTTTTTAACATTGAACTGTGCTCCTCTATCGAAAATGGTGTGTGAGCTAAAAAATTGTGCTAAATATATAAAACAGCAATACATCCAAACGAACACCAATTTTACATAGTAGCATATTATTATATAAGTGTAAATTTCACCATCTCACCAGAAAGCCTCATACGCTAGACACATTGAGGCTTCAGGAGGCAACGAGATTACTAAGTGATCACAAGCGTTACAATAACACGATGAGATCCACTACAGTACAAATGCGATGATGACAACAGTGCGGCCGGCTCTTGCCACCATTTTCGATGAGCTTATGTCGATCAGTGTAGGCGCCACAACATCGATGCATACATTCAAACATTTAGGATACATTGACAATATAGCGTAAGCGTTATTGTGGAGCGAACATCGGTGGTGGTGGTGGTGGTATATAGATGCCGCTTCGGATTCAAGCTGCGCAGGTTGGGAGCAGCCAGACTTTCTCAGAGGTGAAGTGCTCGCAACGAAAGCGGTTAGGTTAAGTGGATACGGGCTTAAAATACGCTTTGGAAGAGGCGATAGTCACACCGGCGACGAGATCTGTTGCGCTAACTGCGCTCACTGTATTATTCCGATGAGAATTTTACAAATACGCTTCCATGTAAAACTTGTTCCGACGACGTGGAGAATAATGATATAGATAAATAAATTCGAAATTCAATTGAGACAGTAAGAAAAAGTCTCAGAACGTGCATTAACTTGTATAGAGTGAAATAAATAAATTAACGTGATCGGTTAAGTTCTAAGCGAACCGACAATTAACTCAAACTGAAGCGAATGTATAGTTACATGATGTGGCGAAAGAAAATCAACAATAGTGTTAAGTATGCCAATATAAGGTTGTGGGACAAAATGAAATGACGAGAGGCAAAAATGAAACTTAGGGTGTAGTCGCTGTTTCATACGTCATGTCTCCGTATCCTACGGTCGTCATTGTCACGACCGCCCACCAAAACGCATCAGGTATGGATTTGAAGAAGCTGTTCTCGCTTCCGGCTTCAGCGAAGTACACCGCAGACGAAAACAGCACCACACCTTTAAGAACAAGCACACACGAACGGAGAATACAGTGCGACATACAGTGAGGGGGAGCGCTTGCGAGCTGGCGGGGCCTTGAGTCAACGGGGTTACCTCATGTCTCCATAGCCAACGGTGGTCATCGTTATAACGGCCCACCAGAACGCATCGGGAATTGATGAAAAATTTGTCTCTACACATTCTTTATCAGCAAAGAAAACTGCACTCGAGAACACGACCACCCCTGCGAACACAAGACGGAATGTGCACTATGTGGGTTGGGCCCGGTGCGTGCGCGCTCTCCGATGCCATCCGTTGTACCGAGTACTCCACGAGCTTCTTGTGTTTTGCTTTCTTAATATATGCTTTAGAACAAAAATTAAATGGTAACGTACAAAAAAAAAACAATAAAAAAACGATGTTTATCTAACCCTTGGTTTCTGACTACCGAACCTTTCTAATACTAAGACTATCGAGTCATTTAAATTTGACTTTTAAGCTTTTAAATTAGTTTTATTAAAATGCGAAACGAATTTCGCACTAAAATACCTCATATAAGGTTTTTCAGGTCATTATCATGTTAATGACGCCCGTCCTCATATACATAAAATGTATATGATAATAGCTTATTAGCTAAGAAAACTGACTACCTCGAGCCGCTATATTTACTATTACTCTACCCCATCGATTCTCGCAATATCTTGTAATATAGTATTTACTAAGTACCCTATTTATTTACCCCACGCCCTATTTTCTTTTTTGTCTGCATCTGATTTAGAATTAGGCAAAGAAAGTAAAAGATTAAAGCCGAAACTATGACACGTAATCAATCATGTGTATATTTTTTTATAGTCGACATAATTTCTCTAATATAAAATTCAGAATTGCAAAATTTAGAGTATAGGGTTAATATAATACGTGCTACTAGTATTTTAATAATAAATCGCTCTTCGAGAGATTTCTTTCAAGTTTTTTTATGTCTTACAAACTGAAATCTTGAAATATTTTTTTAGTTTGTTGAATTTTTTAAATTAAACAGGTTCAATTTCGTTATTAGATTTGGGTGATTCTTGATGTCGTCTTGACGTCTGCACAAAAAGGATCCTTAAAAAATTTGGGGTAAGTTTCGAGTAATTTAAAAATGTATGAACATGGCTGGTACGGTGTCTATTCTATTTCGTGCCTTACCGATGAACAGGAAGAAGATCAGCAGGCCAAGTTCTCGCATGGACGCCTTGAGCGTCCTGCCAAGAATCTGCAATCCCTTCGAGTGGCGGGACAGTTTGAAGATCCGGAACACCCGCACGAGACGGATTACCCGCAGAATAGCCAGGCTCATGGCTTGGTTGGTGGACTTATCTTGCGGAGATACGGGAGCTCGCGGTAGGTTCAAAGTGTCCTCCTCCTCGGCAACGACGGTCGCCAGGGTGATGAAGTACGGGATAATGGCGATTATATCAATGATGTTCATGACGTCTCTGAAGAAGTTGAATTTGTTGGGACACGCCAAGAACCGCACGATCAATTCGAAGGTGAACCAGATGATGCAGAGTGTTTCAATAAGGAAGAATGGATCGGTGATATCCGGGACCTCGTCCTCCTCGATCTTCGTGCCGTTGGTGGTGGTATTGAAGACTTTGTAGTGTTTGAATTCAGGAAGGGTCTCCAGGCAGAAGATGACGATGGAGAGGAGGATGACGAAGACCGAGATGATGGCAACGACGCGCGCGGCCTGGGAGCTCTCGGGGTATTCGAAGAGCAGCCAGATTTTGCGCTGGCGTTCGTTGGAGGGAAGGGGCTTCTCTTCCTCCTTGATGAAACCTTCATCCTCACTGTAAGATAACGATTATCTTTATCCACTCACCGACCTTCCTTATACGAATAAGTAAGTACTTTGAAACTTTAATTTTGTATAATATTCTAATTTAACTAAATCATCTTACCGGAACTTGTTGGTGGCCTGCTCTCCCAGTTCGTAGAACTTGATCTCTTCAGAAAAGACGTCCAAGGGGACGTTTACCGGGCGACGGAGTCGTCCTCCGCTTTGGTAGTAGTAGAGGATGGCGTCGAAAGACGGTCGGTTCCGGTCGAAGAAGTACTCGTTCCTGTACCATTTATTTATTATTAGCTTATTTTATTTAAATTAATGAAGCTGTACTATTAAAATTGTACTGTTAAAAGTGAGACCTTAAAACTCACTTTACTGGTGATAGGACTTCTGGTAGGTTCGCACGAGTAGGTACCACCATCCTGTGTATTTCTATGCCGTGAAGCAGAATGCGTTTCGGTTTGAAGGATGAGGGAGCCCTTATAACTATACTGAGACCTTAGAACTTATGCAAACTTTGTGGCGGCATTTTCATTGTAGATGTCTATGGGCTCCGGTAAACATTTAACATCGGGTGGGCAGTGAGCTCGTCTACCCATCTAAGCAATAAATAAAAAAGGAATTTGATGGTAATTGTAAGGTAAATAACGTCTAAGAAATCTTGATATAAAAGCAGCCCTAAAACCACTATGTTGATCAATTCTACCTCACTGCAACTGAGAAACCGGTTCTCCAACGGATCTTAGGTTTCTGATTTTGAAATTTTAATTTTTTTTATATATTGCTTAGATGGGTGGACGAGCTCACAGCCCACCTGGTGTCAAGTGGTTACTGGAGCCCATAGACAACTACAACGTAAATGTGCCACCCACCTTGAGATATAAGTTCTTAGGTCTCAAGTATAGTTACAACGGCTGCCCCACCCTTCAAACTGAAACGCATTACTGCTTCACGGCAGAAATAGGCAGGGTGGTGGTACCTACCCGTCCGGACTCCGAAGAGGTCCTACCACCAGTAAAACTTGTTATTATATTTGTTAATAATATACGAGCGGTGTTTTTGATAATTACCGGAGTGGGTCGAAGTATCGTATTCGGCGGGAGGGGTCCCCGAGCAACGTCTCCGGGAATTGGTTCAATGTACGCAGCTGAGTTTCGAACTTCAAACCGCTCACCTGCCAAAAGTAAACGTATGATAATATATGCAATCAAACGAAACAAACCGGAGCATACAATCGAATCCGATGTCAATGAAGATAACTTCCGTGGGAAAAGTTTGATGCGGCGCAAAAAATTAACGATTAGAATTTGATTTTTAGTGCATAGTTCATTTTTTTTTATAATTGAAATTTTACTGGTGGCCCGAAGGCCTTTCCAGTTTCACCAGGACAGGCGGGCGAGCAAAGGCTCAGCCAGGAGGGGTGGGATTTGCTAACAACTGCCCGAGCGCCTCCGAAGGAGACCTAATAACTCAAGAGCAATTGCTTCGCGAATGAATCTACTACCGGATCGGAATCGCGACCCGCTGAGAAGATCCGGCGAGAAACTCAGCGGGCTGATGCACGGGTTAGGTTGCACGTTGACCTCTTTGTCGAGTTCGACGATAGTTCATTCGGAAGAAGATCGTTCTAGTCTTTCGGGTACTTAATGTTAGTTCAAGGCAGAAAAAACTAGGTAAGAATTTACCGTAGACGTAGTTCGGCCCGATATTATCATCGAAATAAATTTTGTAACTGAAACAAGACATTGCGAATGAGTTCACGAGTGCTGGCGTCATTTTTGTATTTAGTGTGAATTAATTATTGTTGATGACGAATTAATAAAAAAATAGTCTAATTTTATAATTTGATTAGTTATTTGGTTCCGTTTCATTGGTAGATAATTATTTTTATTATAGATATTATTTATAATTATTATTGGTGTTTATTGGCATAGATGATTCAAGCTAGTGTAAATCAAAAGTTACCTAATAATATTTATACATTTATAATAAATAAGTAATAATAGCTTACAGGTAAACTTCACTACTTTGAGTAATGAGTTCTATTAAACAACACGCTACGATAGTTATTACGTAAAAAACAAGTTCAGTCAATTTTATCAACTTCTAATTTAATTGTAGCCGTAATTTCTTATTTTGATTTTCGCACAACATCCTCATTAACAACAATACTTCGCCGTCGACTCGACAATAGTTTGAAGGCTACGGCTTTTTTGTACTTGGGCTGGTGAGCTCACGGCCCTCCTAAGTGATAGGGCTGGAAGGTATTACATCGTTAGTGCCGCCAGAGAGTATGATAGATAATAACCAGAATATTGGCATCTACGCGCAGGGGTTCATCATATGCCATATAACTTTGTCGAAATATCTGAATATTGCGTATTTTGTTTTTATTACGCGACGATTTACATTTGTTACACGTTTATTTAGAATGGTCGGTACTTGCCTGCCGGGTGTGAGCCCCGTCTTGGAAGACACGGACAGACTACCTACCTAGTCAGATGCCTTACTTATCGTTGTTGGAAAGAAAACAGCGATTTTATCATCACAGATATAGAAACTGAAAACCTCGCCGAGATAAATTCGATTTGTCTATAAACAAAAATAAATTTATCGCGCATTTGTATTTTGAATAAGTTAAATTAAGCTGAATTAAAAACGCCGGCAAAACATCTTGATATTGTATATTGTACCCATTCGGACAGTAACCGCCATCGTACACAATTCTACTGCGTAGCACTAATGCTAGTTTAAAAGAGTTGTGCGTGCTAGAATATATACCATCATTAAAAAATTTTTTTGTATATGGCTGGTATTATTATATACTATTTTAGTATTTTAACATTCAGACTTACGCGTCGCGTATAAAGTACATCGATAAAAACCAAAAGTTTCACCTGTTCCTATTTCAAATAATTCTTAAAACAAAACAAAAATTTGACGATTTCATGTAATCGGTTCAACAAGTTAGTGACGTTCCTTTTAAGTTTCGATTAATACGAACGCAGCGAATGTTCATTTCAACGTGTTTTGAATATTCGGTACCGCCAAAATAAATAAAGGTCAAGGCGGCACGTCTATTTCCGTCGCACCCGAGTGTGCCGGGCTAATAGTGTTGTTGTGTCCATAATGTCTGTTAAAACGTTGTGAATTCTTGTTAACAATCAGAAACGCGCTTAATAACGCGCTTTACAATCGCGCTTAAAATCCTAAGCGGCTTTTTGCGTACTGACTGATTCGTTTCACTTGAAGCTTCCTCTACAGAGATTTTCTAAAGACTCATTATAAAATTATGTGCGTACTTAGCGTGTACCACTCCTATAAAAAAATCTTGTTCTTTATTAATCAATAAATCAATTTTTTTTCTTATATCGTTTTATTTAACCAATTTAAGTAAACTCTTAACAAATTTTATAACTGTATCTTTGTTTAATTCTACCAATATTATACATACTATTCAATACAAAATATTTATTAAACTATGATGTAAGTAATAATTTTGAAGTTCAAGTTCGAGGTGAATAATTCGAATTTTGAATATATCTATCTGATATTCAAATTGATCCGGGATACATACAGTTAATTATTAATACACTTCACACGTGTATTAATAATTAACTGTAAGTATGTATGTTCGCGAATTCAGGGCTCAGCCTCATTACAGAGTTGACATTGAGTTGTGACCCTGAATTGTGAATTTCAAACGGAATTGTACTGTTGGGTGTGATAGGCATCTGTCAGCCGGATCAGAGGTCAAGATAAACTGACGAGCTCCCTCTGAAAGCCTGCTCTAAAATATTCAAACGATAAGACATTAAACCGGTACATTCGTGTTTAACAATAATCTAATTCATATGAACGGCCCAATAATTTTCTCTTTGAAAACACAGATGTACAATGTTCTTCTCATTAACCGAGTATTTGGTGAATCGGATTACTATATCCTAGGTTTTTGGTGCGATTTCTAGCTGAAGTCAATGTCTCCGTCAATTGTTATTTAGTATTCGGGGTGTATTTGATTTTGTCTCGGCATTTAAATGAATAATATCTATAATATAGTAGATCGGTATTATTTAATCTAAGTTTAAGTTTGGGTTGAAAAAAGAATTAAATTAATATTTATTACAGGGAATATCTTACACAGTACGCGAGGTTCTTATTCTGGGTAAGAAAATTGATTTTCGAATATTATAAATATACATAGAATCGAAATTAGTAATTGTAGAAATGTATTATTGGAAAGTAGAAATTGTAGTAAGTTGTAAATATAGGTTAGTGCGATTCAGGTTTTTGTTCGATGTTTTCTAATCTATATATTAATACGTGAAGCAAAAACTTTGTACCCCTTTTTACGAAAATTGTGCGGACGGAGGAGTATGAAATTTCCCACAATTATAGAGAATATAGAGAAGGAGTGCACAATACTAATATTTTTTGAAAATAATGCATAAAAGATACATTAAATCAATAAAGAAAACATTACACACACTACATACCATGTATTTGACGCACACACGCATGTATACTATTTATTGTCAAACTTTTGTTCTTGACGTCTGTGGTCAAATTGAGAATAGTGTTTGTTAATATTTTTTTATAGTGTAGTCTTGGCGAAATTTGTGATTAAAGAAGTATAAAATACAATCATAATAGTGTACAAACTTACAATTCCAATTAATTGTAGTCGAATTTCGACTACTGCGGGACCTCTAGTATACATATAAAATATGATGTGGAGAATTATTTATCTATTATAGTATTTAGACATCGTAAAACTTCGTTACGAACGGTATTGTCGTACAGAAAGACCATTGTAATATTAAGACCTTATTTTGTTTGGTAATGAAACGGAAATATGTTATTTGTGTCTATAATAAAAAAAAATGCAGGGTAGACGCCGTGACGTCAGTATTTAACGCAATACGCGGACAAGGACGTCATTTCAGAGGATTCAGAACGAAATTGTCGGTTTGCTTTGTATTTGTGAGGATTTATTATCGAGAAAGTAAATAAAGGTGATTCAATTATTATTTAAAAGAATTTTATTACAATGAACTCAGCTCCACTGAACAGGAAGATTAACTTTTTTTTTTATTGCTTAGATGGGTGGACAAGCTCACAGCTGACTTGGTGTTAAGTGGTTACTGGAGTCCATAGACACCTACGACGTAAATGCGCCACCCACCTTGAGATATAAGTTCTAAGGTCTCAAGTATAGTTACATCGGCTGCCCCACCGTTCAAACCGAAACGCATTACTGCTTCACGGCAGAAACAGGCAGGGTGGTGGTACCTACCTGTGCGGACTCACAAGACGTCCTACCACCAGTAAAATGATGATGACGGAACAGCCGCTCGACCATCCCTATCGCCGTCATGTATAATAGATGTATACACAACATGTCAGTGAGTTGATAGCAGGGCTAAAATATAGTCTTTGCTATTTCTTAAAGCTTATTTATATTGACTACATAACTAGTATGACTTATTTGGAAATCAAAGAATGATTGTTGAGTTTTACATTTTGTTTAAATTTATTTCACAATTAACATTTTTCTAGGGTTAATTTCGCAGTCGGAGATAGCGAAAACAAAACGAGAATCTTATTTAAGTTAAGACGCGACGACTTCTTGAAAAACTACGGCGAGAACTAGAGAAAGTCATCGAGCAAAGTCTTCTTTGAAATATGATATTTTCATTAAGAACTCTTCGCAGAGAAATTTTCTCTCGACTCATTGTTGTACTCCAAGATCCGTAGCAATGAGCACGGCAGGATAAAAAAAAACGTAATTAAAATTTGTTTAATTATAAAATACGAACTTTTATATATTTTTAATGTACCTAAAAATGCAATGTTAGGTGCACGACGTACACTTTATGCAGCTTAGTTAGGTTGCCGATAAATCACGTAGTTCAATTCTAACCGCGCTCCCGGTGACACTTGACCCAATTAATTTCAATTGTTAATTTCAAATGTTTTAATTATTAGAATTAAATAAAGTTCTTTTTTTTTAAAAAGCTATTCTAATAAATCCTCGTAAGAGAAAGTTAATTTTGTGATAGTGAAGATGTTCATGCCAGTACAAGTCCTACCAAACTAATGTATGTGGGGTTTTATATTCAGGGTGGGCCAGTGAATCGGTTGATCACTTCACATAAGCTTGATTCTTTAATT